ATAATAAGGTGAACCATTTTTCCCATAGTTACCATGTGAATTATGACGATTGGTAATTTTTAAATGGAATCTCTTCGGAATATTTGCTCTTATTCAATTTAACGTAGATGAAGCCGATAATTTTCGGTTCTTACTTGCTTTTCGCACAAAATTTGCTTGCCACAAATCAATGTTACCCAATTTCCGATGTGAATTGGATTTAAATGATTGTCGATCATGTTACAGCTGACAAATCCAAAACAACATCTGACCAAGCTGTGCAATGGATTTTTGTGTTCAATTTTCGGTTTCAGGCGTGATTTATCAAAGTGTCAAATCGAATGCAATAATATGAAAGTATCGCAGTGTTTACATGGAAAGGAGAGAAGCGGAAAAAACACACACACAACGAATTACATGAGAAAAACCTGCATTTATCAACGGAGACACACACAAGAAAAAAAAAGCAACATTGTTCGAATACGAACCGCGTGACTGGCGAATACATATTAGCGTTGGCTACTTGTTTTTAACTGTCCGTTTATTTCATTTTTTGTTATTGTCGTTCGTTTTGCCACCATCGGCACTCTTATTCGCAGTTACTCGATTGTGGTACCGTAGAAAAAGAAGCGAACGGGATAAAAAAAAATCGCATCGAGATTGTTTCGTAGCGAATAGCAAAACGTCAACTCCAAATGCAGACTGAAACGTGGTCTGTAAACATTTATGGACTGTCTTTGTGAACAAGCGAGTGCTTGTGTGCGAGCGCGAGCGAGCGCGATCGGAACCTTATTACGAACGGCGTTGGAAATTCATAGCAAATTATCACTTGTTGTTATCGATATGTCTGTCGATTGGGCTATGGTTTTATGTCACAATCTCCGTTTCGCATTGTTCCATTTATATTCTCTCAACGACAGACATTTCAAATCATAAACGCATTTTTTCACACAATCCAACAGTTGACTTAATTTACAACACTTCATAGACATTCTTTGCGGTTGTTGTTGTTGTTGTTGTTGTTGTTAACTGCGTTTTGTTTGCGGCTATATTGCATTTCTAACTGAGACGTTGCTGAACACAAAGACGCAGGTGCATTTTTGGCGAATTGATTGCGATGCACAACAATTGCCTCTGGCTTGAAGCAAATAGAAAAATGTTGCCGTGAAAAAATACCAAACGATTTCAACAGTAATATTTTCAAAGTAATTAAATTGAATTTTTTTTGTAACACATCGATTCATCAAATATATATCGTGTTATATGATTATTTCTTTATTACAACCGTCTTTCGTTTGTTCCTTTTACATGTTTAGAAATGGAAGACAAACATCAGATGAACGCTGAAGACAAGGCAATGTCGATTCTACTCGAAACAAGTGCAATGCAAAGTAATCACGTGGACGAAAGAACTGAAACTGAAATTTTGATTCAGAAGTTGGCAGTAGTTCGTGGCAAATACGAAAACAGATGTTTGAGCATGGCCGATGAACTGGATGAAATGAATGCCAAGCCTGAACTTATTGCCAAATGTGACGATTCACACATCGAAAGTGTGTCTAATCTTAATGCTGAGAAGGACGCCCGCGACCACAACATTCAAGCACTGAAAGATTTCTTGGGATCAATTCGTGATCTTAAGTAATTTCAAATTGTTTTTCAAATGAAAATTTCCACACAGAACTTTCCGTTTTGTTTTTGCAAACAATCAAATTGATTACATTAATTAGTTGCTGATAATTGTGTTAATTTTGCAGAAATCAACAATTTCTTCGCTCAAATCGAACAACACGGTCGGAATACTGGTGAACAGCCCGTGGTGGATGTCGTTGTTACGGACGAAAATAAAACTGAAAATAGTTTATCCGAAGCGGATAATAACAACGAAGAACAAAAGCCTGAAGTTGCCGAAATTGAAGAAGAAGAACCTCCCGAAAAGGAGTCAGTTCAAGAAAATCCATCGAATGGTTGCCACAACAAAATCTCAGAGATTTCTAACGATGAAGAAAAGGAAATGTCATTGACGAAAACATTGTTCACAGCTACGACCATTTCAACACAATCCTATTGAATTCAATTCTAATTCGATTTACATTGTTGCATTGTATCGAAGCCAAACCGATTGCAATAAACACAACAATATCGTGTATTAATTTGCAAATCAAAAATGTTTGATATTTTCCTGTTTTCTTCTTCGTATAGAGAGGAAGCATTTCATTTCAGATAAAAATATTTAAACATGAGTTTGTCACAATGTTAAATGCTATATTTTTCAAACGTACTTTTCCAATACGACGAGCAAATCAATTGATCTTGACCATTTGTATCCATAATATTTTATAAGTTGATCCTGTGTGTATGAAAATATTTATTTATAATCACACTTTATGGAAACAATTACCCGTTAGCTCAATCGTTTTCTACATCCATATCGATAATCCATGCAGCTTAGAAGTTCGTGTTGTGCCGAATTCCAGTGGGAATTTTCTGAATTAGTTATTCGATTTGTTGTTTGTCTATTTTGTGGATTTCGTGGCAAGCAGAAGTTCAAATGGAACAGAATTTTTCTTTTTTTCAAATGTGTCTTGACCGTTGTGGCGCGAATGCAAATGGCCCATAGTTTCAAATGGATAGAAATTGTAATGACCTCTTTGGCAATTGACCTTTGTTTCCCCTCTTATCGTTTGCTTTCGAAGTGCTCAAGTGCATTTGCGCGAGTTCTCAAAACATCGACCATCGATCGAAACGACTGTTTGACTCTTTTTGGTCTCCATTGGAATCGTAAAACAAGGAAATTGTAAATCGCAACGCGACAACAGTCGAAACATTAATTCAATTTACATTTTAAATGAAACAAGCGAATTAAATAAGGATAAAAACAATAATGAACATGACAATATTGCACACAACACCTTTTTTGTAGCCGATGTTTGCGTCTTTGGTGGCAAATGACCATGTTCCAATCGTGAAATCCAGTTAGTCAAATCATACAATGTACGTGTATATTGGTATACGGTGTGAGTCGTCGGTTTCTCACAGCATTCAGTTGGCCGCTTGTCCTAAGAAAGTGTAGTGAAATTGAATTTACTTTAATTTCGTGGTATTTTGCCGGGTAATTTGATGGGCTTTCGAATGAAAGTGGACCACCACCAGAGAATTTGCGCTTTGTTTTAGCTTAAAAAGAAAGAATCAGCCAATAAAACACGGCGAATCACTTCAGCAGAAGCCACTATTAAATGCAAAAATATTGCAACAATAGTGAATCTCTTCGACTATAAACATAAAACGAAACTAACTGAAAACTATCTTTGTTACGCATAAAATGGATTTTGCCAGCAAAAAAAGGCGACTCGGTTGTTTTAAAAGCCTCGTGAAAACGAACAAAGACAATTCGATTAACAAAGAGAAGGAAGACTTGAAGCAGAGACAAAAAAACCGAGAGAGACATTGCTGCACATTCCGGTGCGTTACTTTAAATTGCTGCATCGATGAATGCGAATTTCGAGCACTGGACACAACAAACGAAACGGCGAATAAAATGAAATGTCGATATAAAGAAATTGTCGTAAGATATAACGTCAACACAGCAACTCGGCCGTGTCTCTCAAATCAAAACTTTCAACTGCATTAACAATGGCATTCTTTTCGATTTTTTTTTCTGATTTGTCATTTTCTCGTAGCCTTTTCGCAGTCGAGTTGCGCAACAACAAATTCAGTTTCAAATTAAATTTTTCGACATTGTTCGCTTTTTTTTCCTCTTCTTCGTTTCTTCCTGGTCTGTTGTCTTCTTTATACGCTACAATTCACTTTGATTTACTTCGAATATTATGGCTGCGAGACAAAAGAAATACATGTGACAATATCGAAT